CCCCCACGGCTGAAAGGGCGAGCATGTTTGGTCGAACCCGCGACCCGTAGATTGCGAGTCGAGCTCCCTAACCACCTGGCCATGCTGGGCCTCCACTTCAAGGAAAATTTACGAAACGTAAAATTATACAAAATACTCACAGTTTAAGTCTAGAGTAATTGAGCTAAATGAAGGATCTCCAATTTCGCTGTTTGAAGCTTCGCAGGTAAGAGAAGCAAACAGATCATGACGACGAAGATCGGGAAGCAATATTTCATTTCTGGAGAAACCTTGAGGCGTGAGAGTAAAGTTTTCCTTCAGAACTTTTCCTTCTTTCTTCCATGTCAACGCCGGAGGCGGCCTTCCTGTGCAAGGAAAGGCAATTTATCCCTTAATACACAATACAAAACCCCTAAGCTACTAAACTACAAAGTAATATATAGCACAAAATATTCAATATTTCACGTGCTATCAAATAGGACTAAAGGGACATTCATTATTCTTACAGGATTATAATGATTAATTTTTATTAATTATTTCAAAACCGGTTCTGGCCCGGTTCAGCATTTATATTATAATTTTTGACTATATCTTAACATGTACACAAACCCTAGGTTATCTAGTGAGTAAGATATTTTATAGATGTAAGGTCATCGATCGGTATTTGTTTCTAGATCCTGCTTAGAAGCACAGTTTATTATTGATTATCTCAAATTCTTCCGTACTCGTAAAAAACGTATACCTCAAATTCTTCCGTACTCGTAATAACGTATACTTAAGTTCCTCTGTACTCGTAAAAAAGTATACCTAAGTTCTTTCGTACTCGTAAAAAGTTATACCTAAATTCTTCCGTACTCATAAAAAGTTATACCTAAATTCTTCCGTATTCTTAATCAAATAATAATTAATATTTGATGATATGTGGAGGGTAATGCAAAAGTCGCTCCCACCTTTTTGAAGCTATCGGATATGTGCTTTATTAATATCACGACACTATGTTATTCTTTCGCTTAGATTTCAGTTGTAATTCTCTGATTCAAATATTTCAGGTTATTTGGATGGGCGGAAAAACGTTATATTAGTTTCATGTTGCCTTAAAAGAAAAATCATAATGGAAAAAAATCACGAAAATGTGCAGGCTATACCAGTAACCCATGACATCCTGTCCATTTGTCGGAAAAATCAACATTCAGGTGTTGCCTGACATCCAATGCGTTGTGGAGCACCATAGCGTTTGCTGAAATAATGACTTTTGGTACGTTTTGGAAATATGTAATTGCAAAATAGTAAGATGGCTTTCTCTAGTCATTGTATCATTTATGAAAATTATACAATAACATGAAATCCTATCGGGTCATATTAAACCATTACATTATCTACCCCCTCGTCTCAGGCTCCTGCAACTCAGTGTGGGGTTTCTTAAGACCAGGAACAACAATAGTAGAGATTCAATTCAACGTTCAGAAAAAACCGCTGCCTTAGATACTATAATCTCCTTCTGGGCGAAGTCTTCATCCTCTTCTGCATGCGCCACGAACCATTCAAGAAATCCAAATTGCAGTTTGTAAGGATGGTAATTATGTTTCCTCAGAATTCAGAACACATTTCTTTAGCTTAGTCTTGCTTCTCTAGTAGTTTCGCAAGTTAATCTAATACAACATGCAAGAATATCGCCTGCTCCAGTGTCCGAAATGTTCTCATTCATTGCTTTAGCAATCCTCATTGCATTTACGATCGACCCTGAACCATGTTTCGTAGAACTTGGCGAATAAACGACCAACACTTGTGTTAGACAAAGGAGTCTCCCATCCAAAATGTCTCAAATTAAGTTCTATGTGACCTGCCGCTGACTCTATCCAGGATCCTCTCACAGCATTATTTCAGGGTTAATGGCATCCCTGTTGGTTATTATAAGGGATAAAAAGAAGAAATTGTTAAGGAAACACAAACTTGACTTTGACAAATTATAATGAGGGAGGAAATTGGAAATTTAACTTTGGTGCGCCAATTTGGCATCATTTTCCTAATATTCAATTTTGTAGTAAAATTCTGAAAAGTAACCTAATATTCTTGTATAAGTTGTCAAACTTAAAATTCTATTCGCAAGTATTTTAATAGTTTATATACAATATTTCCTAGCAATATTTTAAACTAATATAGTTAATTGGTGTTTTTCTAAAGAATAGCAAACATTCGAAAGTATTTTGACATTTTGGACGTCAATGAACATAGAACATTTAACTCATGTTAAAAACAAAACATAAAAACTTACCACCGTCTGCCTCACATATAAGTAACAACGAAGACCCTTCGTTATAAGGACCTATCAGGCCGCGTAAATGTTGACCAAACTTATCCATTATTATTGTTTCTCGAGGTGGAACTGACAAAAACAAAGAGAAGCAAATAGCCAGCTATAATTTGTGACAGTTGACAAATAAAAAAGTATTGTGATATACGTCTTTATTTACTTACGTTATAATTACTTTGATATTTTTTTTTCATTGCCTGTAATTGGTTGAGTAAAGTAATACATTTGTATCGTTTTTATTATTACAAAACAAAATAAAATACAATACAGGCATTTTGACGATTGAACTCCAATGTTTAGTTTAAAAAAAAGTCTTTAAGAAAACAATTGTTGAAGGGTACACAGTTTATAATAAAAATAAGCTACTTACGATTACTTGTAAATGTCTTACCCTAAATGGATAGATATTTTAATATGTTTATATGATGAAACAAGATAATAATATATATCTCATATTGTATTAAAATTTCGTATAACCACCAGTTGGCTCTGCATGTAATTTATGTGTTTACACTATATGCTAAATATACACCAGCTTTCTACTTTTCGTTAGCATTAGGGTCATTTGTATCCTACTGTGATGTATTTTCTATAACCATGCTATGTTATTTATACATTACTTGCCTTGTGCTCCACGACAATGGATTCACGCTATTTTAAATCAGTGAAAAAAGAAGACAACGTCAGATTTTCATTTCTTTATATTTTACCACATATACGACATACATTATTTTTGGTGTTCTATAAAAGCCGTTCGACATTTTGTTTATATGTTTGAATGAGATTCCACTAAGAATTCTGTGGCAAAGTACATGTATATTCGAGTTCTATAGATCTTAAAAACTGTGCATACTTGAGCACTTTGTGCAGCACCCATCACGTAAAATAGTTTACTAGTTTTCATTTACTGTACTGCTAAAATACTGGAAGACGCGGTTATCAATAACTTAAGAGTTTCAGTTGTTAATTAACATGCACATATTTCAAGCTTAGTAACCGGAATAGTATGCAAAACCCAACCATCAATTATTAGTAATAGGTTAATAAAAGAACACAAAACTAAAGTGTCTATTGTTATCAGAATCTACAGGTGTTAATCCAAATGAACTGTTTTTCATAATTGGCCAAATATGTTGGTTCTAGAAATGATCTAATAGCTAATAGTTGATGTTCAACCAATAACTTTTAAACTTTTATAACGTGCAGTGGCCATAACACTGCTTTACAGTTCCAGCAAATGTTATTATAAGATGTGTGTTTTGTTTATATTATGTTATAAAATAGTGTTGACGACCAAAGTTTACTTTACAGTACGATCAAATTTGATAACAAGTGTATTTGTTTATATTATATTGTATAGTAGTGCTGACGACCAAAGCTTTACTTTACAGTACGATCAAATTTGATAACAAGTGTATTTGTTTATATTATATTGTATAGTAGTGCTGACGACCAAAGCTTTACTTTACAGTACGATCAGAGTTGATAACATGTGTATTTGTAATACATGTATATTATGTTATACAGTAGTGTTGACGACCTGAACTTTGCTTTACAGTAAGATAAAAGTTGTATTTTGTTCTATACCACTAGTCAGACACTTAATGTTAGATAATAGATATTTGTGCAAGAATATCTTCTCAGATTGATACACTAATCATATAAGTTCTCACCCCAAAGTCACGTTTTTTGATAGCAATAAATTGTGTAATCAGTTTACTTATCTTATAACTTATTATCCCCCTTAGTTGTTAAGAAAACAATGAAACGTCAAGAAACGAAACCACTAGAGTCTAACAAGTTACGAAACAAAAGACTGAGCTTACGAAACGTTGTATAAAACAGAGCAGCATTCTGACTTAGAATCAGTGAGAAATAACACATGTTTCACATTACTATTATTCGCTTTTCCCAGGAAATTTAAGAGTAAGTTTCACTCGAACGGGCAATTTGTATCTATTCCCGTCATTCTCCTGATTAATAATCAATAATTTTACATAGTGTATCTGGAATGTACTTTTTATCAAACACGTATATCACTTGTATTTTATTTATCTAAGTAAGGTATAATTCGGAAACCAGTTAGATAAACTTTTTTAAAGAGGATTGGAAGTTTTTGCTTCGTAATTTATTAGGGAAAAATGTTTCATTGGACCTTTATTTTTATTTTTTTTACAATGGGTGACGTCTTCCATGTATTTTTGTTCACTTTATAGCAAATAACAGATTTAACTTAATAATATAACGTGTAAATATTACATTAACATACATATTCCTGTAGAAAAACGTGCGTATTTACAAAAATAAAACATACTGATCGCACCAAATCAACATCAATATATATATATTTCGAGCACCAAATAAACATCTGATAGTATTCGAGTAATATAAATTCTTCCGTAGAGCTAGTCTTTCAAAAGTCAAATATTATTATTATTTACGTCGACAAGTGTAAGCGTGTTAGTGCTCCATAGTACATAAATATTTGTTGAAGACAGGTTGGACGTCACTTGAATCTCAACAATGTTCAATTCAAATTGGATAGAAGTTCATGTAAATTAACAATTTTTGCAGGGAATACATATGGTGCATATTGCATGAATACTTTCTAAGAGCTAAGCTAATTGAGCAAGCTCTTGAAAAACTCGAACGTTGATAGAAATTGATCATCACAACCACACCCACAAACGGTTCATTATTCTTAACGTGATTGCATTGCAAGATCTTTTTTTTTATATTGATCGGCTTCATTTAAAACCGTTCGATGGAATTTAAATTTTTTAGCAGCTTCGTTACATAAAATGAATCCATTTATTTTAAAAATTAGGTAGTTTCAAACCAATTTTGGTAGCAACTGAAATGGAATTATAGTTTCAGCTGTATCATAAATAAAATCTCAGTCAAGTGACTGATATAATACAGTGTTTATTTTAATTGTTTACAAGCAAATTATGGTAAAACAACAGACTCTTTATTCAAGTTTCTATACTTCTGATACTATTATTTTTGTGATTCATAAAAACATCCCGAAAGGCAGATTTTCAAGGGATCAGAACAATTTACTTTGTTACAATTAGGACAATTCCAAGAAAATTAAATGTTCCTTACTAATAATAATTGAATATGGTTGTGAATTCTAAAAATAGGTATTAATATGGTCGTGAATTCTAAAAATAGATATTAATATGGTTGTGAATTCTAAAAATAGATATTAATATGGTTGTGAATTCTAAAAATAGTTTCTTTGTTTGTTTGTAGTTATGCACAAAGCTACACAATGGGCTATCTGTGCTCTGCCCACCACGGGTATCGAAATCCGGTTTCTAGCGTTGTAAATCCGCAGATATACAAACTAACCCATAAAAAATCTTCTTTAATACGAAACTAATTCAACGTGTAAGTGTTTTAAATATTCCTTATCCCTGGCTCTAAAACTTATTATCTTTTCTAAAGTTTTCATAAATTGTGATTTTTTCCATTAAATGTTACAATTACATAATTACCATAAAATCTAAATAAATAAATAATTACGTAGTTAACATAGTACACTAAAATCTAAAGAAAAAAACTACAAAATCAAGTACATTATTTGCGCGAGATACTTTGTAACTTATAGAATATTGCTATGGTAGGTGAAAATATTGTTTTGCTTTTTTTTAATAGAAACCCAAATGTTCAATACAGTTTGCAATACTAAATAACTATTTACTTTCTAAACATCTATTTCACTCTTTTTGTTTTGCAAATTACCACATAATATCCCATCATAACGACAAAGATTTTTAATTTGTTACACGTCATCCCATTATATTACTACATTTATTGATAACTTAATCTTTATATTGATCGTTACAACCACATTCGTAGGCAACTTTGAAACTTCTGGGAATAGCATGTTTTATTTCTCACATTCCCTTTAATTATCTCTGCGCATACACTAGCTAAATAGAACTAGTTATTTCAGACAAGACTATTATTCTTTAACCAATGATATCGTCCAAGAATAGCGCTTTGTGCTCTCTCACTAAAAAAAGAAAAAACATCATGCGACAAAATAAACGGCAGCTACACGTCTCTTTCCATCCAACATTGTTGACTAAACCTTAATTAACTCGGAGCAAGACACTTGTTTTGTTCTTTTTAGAGATAATATCCATTATTGAAAATTGATTAGGTTGGTCTTTTCCCTATCATAAAGTGGTGATTACAAGAGACAATAACAAATTGATTTATACCCTGTATTTTTGTCTGTAGACGTAAATTTTCTTTACTGCCAGGAATGGATGTTTCTCGTGCGTTTCGATAAATATCAAACACTTCCCTGTAGTACTATTTGATTGACTCTCTCTCTCTTTCTTTTATTTTTACTATGGAACTTTGACCAAAGCGATTTTTTTCTAAAAGATGAAAAATCCCTTTCTATAGCCAGAATGTGTGTGACTAAGCACACTTATTGACACATTCTGATAACAAACAAAGCTAGAAAATCACTGTCAGAAAGACACCATTGTTTTGGTATTTAAAGATAGAAAAAGGCAGTTGTGTGTTACTCATCATTTTGCCTTTTATCTTGCCGATTACTATTCCCAATATTTCCCAATTTTAATTTTTTTTATTTTCATTTTATTTACGATGACATTAAAACCTGGAAATAAAAGATGTGCAAGCTTAAAACTTAATGGGAGCGCTTTTTCCTTTACCGCAACACGCGGTGGATGTTGAAACGTTAATGTTTGTTCGGTTTATTTTTGTATGAACTATTACTAAACTTAAATAACAGATAAAGTCTAAGGTGTGAGTATGACTATCACATTCACTTAAGGCAAATATTAATTGAAAGGTATTTATTTACAAGTTACTCTCTTGAAACATGAAATGATATTCCTGGTAAGAACCTGTAGTAGTGTATAATCGTTTCAGTCACATTAACCACCCGAAAGTAGACCATGACATGCCTAAGGTTTTTCACAGACATCTTAGACGTGCCAAGATATAATATTCACATATATGTTGAACGGCCTTAATTAAACTATTCATTTAATTTGACGTCGTAAGTATTCAAAAAGTCCTTC